AACTCAGGGCAAGAACACGTGCGAGGCTCTCTCTTTCTTTCCTTTTCCTCCGAGTTTCTTTATTTAAGAAATTTTTCTTCAAAAAAAAAAAAAAAAAAAAAAGAGCTCACTTATATAACTCTATACGCGAAGCCATGGTTGGCTTGCGTGTCCCCCGTCATCGATTCCTCTGCTTCCCCTTCTATCCGTCCTTGCCACCTTTTATTATATTACGTTCACCACCCTTCCCCGCATATCATCCTTGGCATTCATCCTCTGCTCTTGGCTATTTGTATAGCTCCTCATCCCACCTCTATTCCTATCCATCAGCATCAACCCTCCTCTCTCATCCTCGCAACTCCCCTCCAGTACACAACTCCACCACCACCATCACCACCATCACCACCACCATCACCAACACCATCACCAAGTCCAAGTCCAACTCATACGAGTACAGTGCGACTTGGACTTCTGTCGACAACGACCATCTCGGTCATCAGTCTACCGTCAACCTCCCCACCACACATCCACGTCCATCACACATACCGTGACAGATGCATTGGTTCAGCCGCCCGACAGACGCCGTCACCAGGACCTGGGGCAGTCTACGTCGTCAGCGCTCCCACAAGCGTCCCACCGTCCTCCCTTCCACCAGGACCACCACCACCACCCTCAGCGACAAGGTCGACGTCACCTTCTACGAGGGCGACGAATACCCTGCCAGCGATGTCTCCGACGCAACCGAGGTGAAGCCCGAGAAGTGGTTCGTAGGCAGCATCGACCAGGGCACCACTTCCACCCGCTTCATCATCTTCAACGACGAGGGCACCCCCGTCGTCACGCACCAAATGGGCTTCGAGAACAAGCACCGCCACTCGGGGTAAGAGCTTACATTGATCGCCCCCTCCCCCCCTCCCTCGTACTCTCCCGTAGACGTGAACAGACTTGCAGTAGACGGTGCGGTGGTGCTCGAATCCGGTGGATCCGGACTTTTCCTTCTTTGCCTCCCCTTCTGACGAGTACAATGAGACAGATGGCACGAGCAGGATCCCATGGAGCTCCTCAGCAGCGTCGAGACGTGCATCGAGAAGGCTGTCGAGAAGTTCATCCAGCAAGGCCACGACCCCAAGAGGATACGCTCCGTCGGTCTGACGAACCAGCGTGAGACCGTCGTGCTCTGGAACAAGACCACTGGCAAGCCCGTCTGCGACGCCATGGCCTGGCCCGACACCCGCACCGCCCCCCTGGTGCGCGAGCTCAAGTCCCGCGAGGGCGCCGACAAGATCCACGGCCTGTGCGGCATGCCCCTGTCCACCTACCCGTCGAGCGTCAAGCTCATGTGGCTCCTCGAGAACGACGAGGCCGTCCGGGCCGTCTACGACGAGGGCAACCTGGCCTTCGGCACCGTCGACTCGTGGCTGATCTACAAGCTCAACGGTGGCGTCGACCGCGCCGTCAGCGACGGCGAACCCATCCACGTCACCGACTCCACCAACGCCAGCCGCACCATGTTTGTCAACCTCCGCAGCTTGGAGTACGACGACCAGCTCCTCGACTTCTTCGGCATCGACCGCTCCAAGGTGGCCCTGCCCCGCATCGTCCCCTCGTCCGACGCCGAGGCCTTCGGCGCCCTCACCCGGGGCCCCCTCCAGGGCGTCCCCATCACCGGCTGCCTGGGCGACCAGTCGTCGGCCCTGGTCGGCCAGTGCGGCTTCGAGCCCGGCCAGGCCAAGAACACGTACGGCACCGGCTGCTTCCTCCTGTACAACGTCGGCGACGAGCCCGTCATCTCCAACTCGGGCCTCCTCTCCACCGTGGCGTACGACTTCGGCCCCGGCCACTCGCCCGTGTATGCGCTCGAGGGCAGCGTCGCCGTCGGCGGTTCGGGCCTGACCTTCCTCCAGAACAACCTCGGCATCCTCGACAACCCCAAGGAGATCGACGCCCTGGCCAAGACGGTGCCCGACAACGGCGGCGTCTACTTCGTCACCGCCTTCTCCGGCCTCTTCGCCCCCTACTGGATCGACGACGCCCAGGGCACCATGTTCGGCCTGACGGCCCACACCCAGAAGGGGCACATCGCCCGCGCCACCCTCGAGGCCACCTGCCACCAGACGGCGGCCATCCTCGAGGCCATGGCGGCCGACTCGGGCAAGGCCCTGGCCGACCTCGCCGTCGACGGCGGCCTGTCCAACTCGGACCTGTGCATGCAGACCCAGGCCGACCTGTCGGGCATCCCGGTCGACCGCCCGGTCATGAGGGAGACGACGGCCCTGGGCGCCGCCATCGCGTCCGGCGTGGCCTCTGGCGTCTGGAAGAGCATGCACGACCTGCGCGACTCCAACAGCGCGAACCGCACCGTCTTCACCCCCAGCATCGACGCGAAGAAGCGCAAGATGTCGAGGGACCGGTGGGAGAGGGCTGTCCAGATGTCCCGCGGCTGGCTGTCTACCGAGGATGAGGATGACAAGTGATTCCTCTTCTCTCTCTCTCTCTCTCTCTCTCTCTCTCTCGTCCTCGCAAGAGAACGCATCTGCTCGATCCTCGGCCGGACAATCTCTACAAGGCAACACGAAAGATGTCTTCTAATGTTAATACCTAATCAGCGTATATACCATTTTACTTTTTTCCTACCACTTTTTTTTCTTGATAAATTTTTTTCCCTCCCTTTTCTTGGGTCTTATTTCTACACATGGCAAACGGATGGTGTTTTGGGATTAGCGAGGGGTTTTCATGGAATAGGGGTTTTTTTTTAGGGAATTTCCTTTTATGAAAAAAAAAACCCCATGATGCTTGACAAAAAAATAAAAAATAAAAAATAAAAAAATAAAAAAATTCTTAGAAAAAGATTATGAACATTTCTCTCAATGGGAGCGTCTTGGATGGTCTATGTGTGTGTGTGTGTGATGCTTGCTCGAAATATATACGTACAGGTTGTTTCCTAAGGGACAAATGTGTTGAGACTGGCTCTACAGATTATGCTCAATCACCTTTGGTCCTACCATGACCTGCTCATTTGCTGCAGTCCCATATGATGTGTAATGACTTTTTTATTATATTTTTATCTTATACTGTATATATATATACATTACTCCTAATACCTTCTTCTTCCGCTCCTGTCACGTACAGATCGCACATTACCCGTACAAAACTGATGATAGTATTACTTGTAGCAGCAGGGTAGTTACCCGTAGTAGACCGCACTATGAGTCATTTTTCCGACATGACCCCTTCCGTCTACTCTCACCTTGTCCGTAAGACTGGTAATATCTAATATCTGTAGCCAAGGAGGTAGTAAGGTAAAAGAATAAAGAATAAAATAAAAGGAATGTTATTAGTCATACACACTGCCGTCTAGATATGCGACTTGCTCCTGTCTTGCTACTAATAATACAGTCCACATGACTGAATGTGCACTGCCACAGATGAGGGGGGGATGAGGGAGGGGGAGAAAAGGAAGAAGAAAAGAAGAAAAGAAAAGAAAAAGATGCCATGTTCATCTACCCCAGATTCACTTTCATTCCTTCATTCTTTTCTTCCCCCCCTCCCTTAATCGGTTGCGACAACCCTAACCCCTCCCCGATGTCCTGGGATTCTTCCAACACCTTCACTACTTCCCTGTGTTTTTTTTCTTCTTCTCTGGTCCTCTCACCTCTCTCTGTTTGCTCTCGCCTCCACTTCTTCTCTTGATTCTCTAGTCTTGCATGATTCTCCTCTCTTCCCTTTATTCTTCTCTTACTCCCCACTTCTTCTTCTTTTTCTTTCATTCATCCTAGCCTCACCTCGTTGATAGAACAAGAGAATAAGAAGAAAAAAAAAAGTGTCGTCACAATAAAGTAGTCACTAGTGATGCGCAGGTTGCATGACAACGTCAGGGGCCCCGGGGGGGGGTGTGGTGGTGCGTACGTTGCAAGTCAATCTTTTTTTGCCGATCCCATCTTTCACACCAGATCATCTCTCTCCCTCCCCCCCCACGTTTTTTTTTTCTTTTTGTCCACCAGGATGGCAGGATCCAGGATATGATTGTCATACACCGCCCCCGCGTTCCACAATGACACAAGTTCCACAATTTTTCTTGTTCTTTTTTCTCTCTCCAAGAATTAAAGGATTAAAAAAAAATACACTCAATCCGTGAAATGGATTCGTAAAAACTCCGTACGAGTATTATAAGTTTTTATTTATTAATTTTCATAATACAACCTCTACAGAATGGAAAGACGAGAGAGAGTGTGTGTGTGTGTGAGGGGGGGGG